CAAGAGCTTACGCGATTTTTTTTCTGGATCTCATCGTTTGCACACTATCCCGTGGAATCATCTCAAAGCCACGTTGCTTTTAAGAAAGCCAAGTGAAATCATCGCGGTACTTGCCCTGACACTTACCTGTTAAGTAGCGTCGCATTCTTATAGCATGTGAGAATGGCCACTTGTCAGTCCTTCTTGTGTACGTCAATTGAGGTTCTCGTTTCAAATGATCTGGTTTGGGCTGGATACCACGGGCCAATCTCTTCGGTCTCTCCAACAACGCGTTACACACTCACATGCAGCGCAAACCCGTAACCCCCCGCAACCCTTACAAGAGGATGATTTCAAGCTGATTATCGGCCTGTTTTAGAATAAGACAGACCGTGTCATCCCGCAGAGTTTAGTTGTCTCGAAGTCGCTATTTGTGCAGGCAGCCCTGTTATTGTACGTATAGAGCAAGACGCATCCCTCATGAGTGGTCGCGGCAGACTTCTGTTTCCGTCCGATGTAATCGAGAAACCTGGCATCTTTCTTGTCGTCCGGTTGGCTGATTATGATAAGTACATTCTAAATTTTTTAATCTGGCTGTCACAACGGCACGGCTCGGGTCCTCGCTATCTGGGAATTGCTGATCTGTGAGCGAGAAATCGCCAGCGATTCTTACCTATAGCAGATGACACAGAATTTGTCCTTTTTGTAGGCTTTTGGCAAAGTAAAAAAAACGGACATCTCTCGCAGTTTCTTTAGAAAAGTTAACAGTGCAATTTTAAGGGTTGATGCTGGATAAAAATAAGTTGTACGACAGCAAAGCTCTGGGCAGTGCAATTGGCGAAGTACTCAAGGAGAAGTAAGGGCAAAATTCGGATTCTGTTTGTATGCAATAAACATTGTGTTTGAGGTACCGAAAAGCAGCCCACCGCACTCGAAACATTTTGGCTAAGCAACCTTCGCCAAAAGAAAAGCTGGTCAGAACCGTCGAGTTGGCTGCCGAGTTCGGTCAGATGCCCGAGCTAAGGATTGCTGGGCGCAATCTTGGAATCGTTGCCTACTACAATCTAGACATTTTCCTGTTGTTGACTGTTTCGTTCATACTCGTCATTGGCTTCGTGGCATATCTTCTTCGAAAACTCGTTTTATTGTTAGCCACAGGTAATGTACTCAAATCTAAAACGCAGTAGGTTTTCAACTTTAATTGAGAAATAACACTATTACACGCACTACGGTTTGAAGATAAGGGAGTGTTGTATATTTATATATTTTATATGACATTTTATATCTTACAAATATATCTTTTCTATCTTATCTAAATCTTTTATATCTTACATATACATTTTATATGTACTTGTATATGTACAAGTTGTATAATTTTACCAGATCATGTAAAAATGTTTGTTTTGACGTCCGTGAATGAATTTCAGGTTCATTAGGTCGTTGCATAAGTTGGTAGCGTTTTCTCTGTCATCATATCTATGATGGCTGGTTGATCTGCGGCAAGATGCGTAGATCATTGGAAAGGACTATTTATGCTCTTTGAGATTTATCCACTGATACCGGTGAAAAGCTAATCTTCTTGGATTTCTTAGCTTTCAAGGATGAAAA